GTTGGATAAGCCAAACATGATATTGGCGTTTAATAGAGCCTCTATAAGTAAGTGGCTTCATTTTCAAAAGCCACAGTTGAATTAGTAGGTTAACAGTTACAGGGATTGCCAAATGAAAGTGGCAGTTTGTCTTGAAAGCATCACAGGCGTCTGATTTCTCTCTCTGCATTCAGTGTAAACTCCATTTCCAGTTCCATTTGGTTCAATCGTGAAATGGACAGGTAAATTCACTTGAGAATTTATGGCAGAATGCATCAAAGTGCTGATCCATTCAAGTCTGTGATCAACCAGGTGCAGGATGTATACCGGAACAAGCCAAGACAACAGAAACAGTCGAGTTTTGCAGCGGTCCCATTGGGTAAAAATCCATTTTTACTGTGTTTTCTGTTTGTTAAAAAGGTTGCTGTGTGAAATAAAAGCTGTTAAGATGTGAAGACATTTACTTTTGCCATTCGTCACCACAACTAGTTTGTCTCCCAGCGTCACCGGACGGCATCCAAGATGCGATGTAACACCAAACTGACCAAAAGTGTTCAAACTGTCAGTCACAGATGCAGACAGCATGTTCTTCATGGTTTTCGGAGCCCAAACAGCCAATTTAGAGCAGCTCTAAAGCCAGCTTTTATACAGTCATGATACAGAAGGACCCTGTTTGCAGCGTCTAGAGCTTAAAAACTGAAACAAACACGACGGGGACATGTTTTGTTAATTTGCTCAAAAAGGGGCACAATATGGGACTTTTAAGGTTAATGGCTATATTAATGTCAGATTAGCTCATTCTAGCTGTAAACATCATACCCCAAATATGAAACTGTGGTAAGCCTCACTCAGTGATGTGAGTCAACTTTCTGATGGTCCCTGAACTAATCATGGTCCTCCGTGAAAGTTAAAATCTCTTTATTCTACCTGCCAAATTTGAAAAATTCATCACAAATGAGCATTTTTACGCTGACTAGATTCTGTAAAAAGCAAAACATCAGGCCTCTTTTGCTAGGCAAGTATATAACATCTGGAATGTCAGTTCCTCTGTTTGTGTCCACATACTTTTGGCCGCCGAGCCTTTCTGAAAACACGACAAATTCTGAAGATGCGCGGTTTTCACAACACCGAAGCAAATTATAACCGTAATCATCGCTATCATAATTAGAATATTCATTTATCAGAGAGTGGAACGTTGTGCCAAGTAAATTAAAGTTTTGTTGTTGTCATTAAAGTTTCTCGTCGCTGCAGCCTCCCGTCCTCGTCTCCTCTCCTTCCACGTCTCCTCCTCCTCCTCCTCCTCCTCCTCGTCTACTCCCATGACTCGACATCTGGAAGCAGCACCCTCTAATGATCACCCGGCACACTGCAAAAAGACTCCCAGCCAGCCAGCCAGCCAGCCACGAACGCTCGCACACATAGAAAACACACTCAACCTCTGATTTCCAACTCCTCCGAGAGACAAATTTTTTTTCGTATTTTTCCCCTCCTTCCCTCGCAGGCCCTATTGAACAGTCTTTATGCCGTTCCTCAGCCGTTCCTCGCGCTTTCTCATTTCCTCTTCCTCGCTTTTTCGCTTGATGTATGTGCCGTCTGACAAAAGACGCGCTTCCTCTCCTCCCTTCCATCTTTTCATCTTTGTCTCGTTCCCTCCTTCCTCGTTGTTTTGCCATAGAGAGATCACTGAGACAGGAACCATAAATAGGCTGCCCGGGCGGCTGCTGCTTCTTTTTGAGCGCGCCATCAAAGATATTCATCATCATCAGGCCATTGATAATCAAGCACTATTGAGCTCTTTTATCCCTTAAGAGAATCACGCACTCACACATGTCTTTCTCTGTCCAATCCACCTGTCCCATTGTGCCAAACACCTCTGACATGCTTTTTTTTCTCCCCTCCTTGCTGACAACAAAGGAGCGTATAAGGGAGAGTAGCAGGCTGAAGGGGAGAGCGAGGAGGCCGAATGAGGCCTTCGACCACAGAGGAGAAAAGGTTCGAGAGCCAACTGTCTGGGCTAATGTACATGTTTTTCATTCGGTTAAATAATCCAGATTGAACCAGTCGTGACAAACTTTGCCCGAAATGTTTTGGAGGCAGTGGAGTCACAGCAAAGGGTTGGGAGAGGGTTTTTTCTTGCAAGGAACAGACGGCAAAACTAAAAAAAAAAACAGAGCAAAAAGAAGATTGAACGGTTTGGATTCGAAGCGCTATAGGAGGGCTTCTGCCTCCTGAAGGGTCTAATTAACAGTTTAATGGCGTCCTGGAGCTCCAGGAGAGCACAGAGGAGCACAGGCCTCTGGCTCACGTCTAACTAGGTTGAGCAGTTTGGGGGGAAAAGTCAAATTTTTCTGACAGATCGAGTTTGTGATACAGCCATTCTTTCTTTTCACAGCTCAATATTCACTATAAAATAGATTTTAAACATGCGACAGACCACACGAGACTCCAGTGTGACAAGGAGAACGGCGCGAACTGACACGACTGTTTAACCATCTGAACCCCGAAATAAGCCGATAGGTGTGAGAGACATTGTTTCTGGTGGGAGAAAAAAGCCAAAATTGCCAAAAATGCTTTATAACTGTCACAAACTGTCAGAACAGAAAGAATCGTCAGATTTTAATCTTTAGATTGTCCCTGAACTAATCATGTGTGATGTGCAGTTATTTGCAGTTATCAACAAAATGAAGCTTAAAATTGCTTAAAAATTAATTTCAAATTAAAAGTTTAAACTATCCATCCATCATCTCTACACCTTAATTCTCACTAGGGAGGCTGGAGTCTATCCCAGCTGACTCAGGGTGAAGGCAGGTTCACCTGGACAGGTAACCAGTCTATCACAGGGCTACACTTAGAGACAGACAACCAAGCACACTCACATTCACACCTACGGACAATTTAGAATCATCAATTAACCTCAGCATGTTTCTGGACTGTGGGAGGAAGCCGGAGAACCCGGAGAGAACCCACGCTGCACGGGGAGAACATGGAGACTCCACACAGACAGATTCTCACCAGGACACGAACCGGCGACCTTCTAGCTGCGAGGCGACGGTGCTAACGACCGAGACACCTTGCAGCCCTTAAAATAATCAGATGCTGTACAAAGTAAAATATTCTGCACTTCTTGGTGCAACTGAGAAGCTCTTAGTGACTCAACAGGCACAGGACAGAAATTCAGGGAGTTTTCGTCTGAACTGTTTACACAGAGCAGATAGAAGACATGTTTGTAGTAACTTGAACCACATTCCAACTTTGGACATTTAGAAATGCGTTGTACATATTCATTCCAGTGTTTTTGTTTTAAAATTTGTTAGAAATTCGACTCCTTTTTTCCTCCTTTTTTATGATTTATGGCAATAAAACTTTGCTATATTGCCCCAAAGGCAATCTAGAGCTCTTTCTGCTGCTGGCAATGGTTGCTCTGTTTCCATAAAAGTGCAGGACTTTATATTGCAGTGAAAAATGAGCCCACAGTGAATGAAAATATGACATGAAAAAGAAATGCCTGGAGACAGCTCGGGCTTCAGAGGGTTAAATCCTGAATAAGCCCTGCTGCATTATGCATGTCTCAAATTGCAGCCTTTGTGATTTGCTAATTGCATTGTTTTAAATTGCAACTTTGATTTGAAGTCGATTCACTCTTGAGTCCTAATTCTGACCAGAAAACTGGAATCAAATGAGGAATAAAGGTGATGAAGGAGACCAAAGGGAAACGTGAAAATAATGGAGAAATGAGGTGAGAGGTGGACACAAAATGGTAAAGGGGGGGAAAAAAGGAAAAGACAGAAGCCGGGAAACAAGAATGACTATTTCACTCACGAAAGAGAGACGGGAGACTTGTCTGTGAGACAGTAAAACATTGCCTTCAGGCAGCTGTCAGCCAAGCTTCATCGAAGCATCTCTCTCCTCTCGCTGCCTCTTACTCACTCACTCTGCCATTCTCGCTCTGCCATCAAAATACAGCGAATCAATCACCCTCCTGCAGCTACAACTCCTCCTGTTTAATGCTCGCCTGTGACGTGACATCTGCAGATACCTTTTGATTAACAGGAAGCTGATAAATACAAAATGTTTACAAAATGCCGCTCGCAGGGGGCGAAACCGACCGTTCACGGCCTCATAGCTGCACGTCTCAGCTCCGTTTGGATTCTTCTTGTTGTGGATCGACGCAGGGATGCACCCGTTTGGTTTGTGTGTGTGTGCACGCTCTCGTACGTGACGGTGTTGATTTGCATGTGCGCTTCTATGTGTGAGAGTTGCTTCTATAAATACGAGGTGTTGAAGATGGCAGTTAAGCAATTAAAGGAGGGAAGAGGAGACGAGCGGAAGGCGCCGAGCGCAGGAGGAAGAAGGGACGGAGACGTTTTCCGACACAAAAGTGGCGAAAAAGTATAGATTAAGAATCCACCTGGTGTCATCAATCTCTTCTTTACAATCTAACTACGCAGCCCGCTGCCCTCCGTCGCCATTCATCAACCAGATACGCGCTAAATCATAGCAGGAAAAACCTCCTGCTCTTCAAGTGCGCGGGGATGATTGATTGAAGCAGCGATCGCCCGTAGCACTCGTCTCCCCTCGCAAAGTTTCCTTTCCCATAACTTCGACTTTTCTCCCAGCCAGGGATTAAGGAGCTGATGAGGGTCGAAGGCTGCAGTCATCGCTGATAATTCACCCATCTGTATTGCTCATATCCAAATATTTGCATGCAGCGAGTTGCTTGCCAAAGTAGGTTTCACCGCTCTGACCTACTTAAGTTGTTTTAAGCTGAATGATGTCGGTGCAGAAGAGTTCTGACTAAGACAGGAGGCTGTGAGGAGCGAGCGCTGCTGCTGCTGCTGCTGCTGCTGACAGGGTTTACACCACAGGTTGAGGTTCATCTCGTACCAGGAATCTTGTTTTCTTGCTTTTTTAACTCGGCTAACGTCATTCCGATGCATTCATCAGAGCAGAGAGGAGGCAGAATGCTCCGGTTCAAGCTGCAGGGCGCTCAGGGCCCAGCGTTGAACCGGTTCGCTCAGTACCTTGTACGGGATGACGACTGCAGAGCCGCCACTGATGCCCACGATCGGCAGAGATGTCTGCGTGGAGAGGAAGTCCAGGATCTGAGCCACTTCTGCCACCTGAAGACAAAGACAGACAGAATCAGTGTGTGACGATGCAGTTTGCAGCATCCTCTCTGCAAACAAACCGTGATAATATGATGCAGTCTGACCAGGTTGTAGAGTTACTCGGCCTGGAGTTCAGACTAAACCCTGAAACTAACTGATTTTCATGTGGGTCAAGAGAAAAATGCATCTGAAATGCAGTCCTGCCTGCAAGTTTTATACAGTAAACAAATATGTTATCATCCTATTTCTGTGTTTTATTCATCCTGTGAGTGACAAAACAGCAGAGTGTTGACTGAACATCAGCGTGGTGTTACTGAAAATGTGCATAACGACAGAATATTTAAACTTCAGGTACATTTTTAACTGCTTTTAAACAAACATACGATCATCATTAAACTATACGTCACGCAACAGAGCAGCAAAATGTTTTTTTCTACTTTGCTAACATTAACTAGTAAAAATAAAAAGGCGGCAAAACATCATCACTCGGTCTTCTGATGGTTCTTTATTTATGTCGCATTTGTGAAAGAGGCATTACAGAGGCGGCCTGCTGAATACGAAGCTGCACGCACAAAGCCTGCACGAATTAAAATCTCGCTCAGCGGCCTTTTTTTTCACAGACCGGTCCATTAGAGGAGCTTGAACTTTGCGTGCGACCGCAACCGTTCCTCAGAATGGATGTTTTGTCCGATGCAGCTTCTCCGGCACAAGCAAACAAATGGTTGGATTTAAAATAGAAACCTGCTGGTGTCCGTCCGCCTCCGCTGCTTAATGCCACACTAATAATAACCTGCTGCATTCATGGTATGGTTTAATTAGCTGGATGTCTGGCTGGTAATGCTCTCAACATGATGAACTTATTCATGAAGTCTAGAGATTACGTGGGCAGTTATAGTGGAATAATGTATGTACGTCTGCCGTAGTAGACACTCAGGTTACATGTCCTCCACTTATACTTTAAAAAAAGGTAGCTGTACACCTCTGGATGCAGGCAGCTCCTGACCAATCACTGCCTTCCTTCTATTAAACTAGTTTCTGCTGAAGTGTTTGGGTTTTATTGAATATCCTAATATGGTTAGATTGTAGGTGCATATATATGATAGCCATCATTAGTCCTGAAATGCTTTTTGGTTGGGTAAACAAGCTGTGTTAAAAATATGAAAAAGTTTAAATGTAAAATACAAATCTCTTGACAACGCATGTTCCTTGGATACACTGTACAAAAAATAAAAAAAATAAAAAAATTAAATTTAATTTTAATTAATAAATAACAACAAATTAATTAATTTAAATTAACAACAAATTAAATATGACGAAAAAAGTATTTTTTTTCTATTTAACTACTGTAAAAAAAAATGTAAATTTATGGTCACCCTGTAAACATACAGATTTTTTATGGGAACACAATTTACATTTTTTATTTTTTTTGTCTGTGATTTACCTTTATTATCTGTATTTTAATATAACAGAAAATATCTAAAACAACAGTTAATTTTTGTTTTGTTTTTTTAAAGTTTTTTAACTTTAGTTAAATTTATTTTTCTTTTTTTTCTTTTTTCTTTTTTTTTTTACAGTGTAAACACTATGCATTTTCGTGCACATTGCAGCTTTAAAGTGCAAAGAAAAACATGAATAGATACGGCCTTTGTTAACATCCAGGACAACAGGTTGGAACTGTGTGGATTAAGGAGCAAAATAATGGATAAATTAATCATTGTAAACTGTGTAAACACTCCTGAGACGTAAATTAATCAGTGTTCAAAGTGTAAAATTACACTTTTCTAGTTTTTATGGTCTTTGAAGAGTCAGTATAAAGTGATTTTGTTTTAAGTCTCGTACCTTTAAAAAGAGAATTTTACACCTGAGTTTAACTGGTAACGGGTAGAAGTAATTTTTCTGGAAGGAAAACAACCTTTAAAGTGAACAACACTGAACTTAGGGACACTGTTTAGGGGAATATTTACATTCTGCTGTTTAATGTCACTTCTTTTCCCTTTACATGATCTGAAACACCATAATTTAATTTCAGCAAACATTCTACGTGCTTGGCTTCTCAATTAGTTCCTCTTTGTGATTTAAGCTGACAGGACAGGTGCTTTTTTTTTCTTTTTTTTGACATCAAAATGTTCCCTTGTGCAGCTTTAGGAAACAGATGTGGGTGACTGAGCAGCGTGACTCTGGAGAGGACGTCTTATCCGAAAACCCCCAAAAAATGCAGAAATCTTTTGGGTTTTTTTTCCACCTGTGCGTCTGCACCTGAACTTACATCGTCCTCGAACACCACCCCGTGCAGCTTCTCCATCGCCATGGTGTCGCAGAGGCGGGTCAGGAGGTCGCGGGGGTTGGTGTCGTTGACCAGCACCGTCACGGGGCTGACCACCACCGGCAGGTCCACGAAGTTCTCCCCGCTGAGGCGACCCCTGACCTCGTTCTGGTAGCTGGAGCCGCTGAACACCACCGCCACGTTGATGGACGGGTGGAGGACGAGCGGCCGGGCCTGCAGGGGCAGCGGCGAGGAGATGAGGAGGAGGAGGAAGAGGAGGAGGAGGAAGAGGGGAGGCCACGGAGAGGGAGGAGGAGGAGGAGGGCGTCCCCTGGGAATGGCCATGTTGGCAGCCTACCGCCTGGAAGAGGAGGAGGAGGGGAGGAAGGAGGACGGGAGAATGAAAAGCAAAGAGAGCAGCAGTCAAACATACAAGCTGCTTTACTTTTATGATGTTTTTGACATAATGCCTCATAATCCGTCAGTACATATCCATCCCTTATTTCCCTCTCCTGGTCTGTCTCTCTCTGTATCTGACCCTTTTGTATGACAGTATTAGCCCTGCATTTAGACTCTTGTGTCATCAGGAGGAGAAAAAAAAACCCACGTGTGTGTGTGTGTGTGTGTGTGTGTTGTGTGTGTGTGTGTGTGTGTGTGTGTGTGTGTGTGTGTGTGTGTCGGAATGTGCGTGCATGTAATCCTCGGTAATCCATCCCCCAGTGTCATGACTGTAATCACCTCTCCATCTCTGCACAACTCTGATTCAGCACACATACACACACACACACACACACACAGCGCAAGCAGGATGCCAAAACTGTCACATAGGTCCGTGACCCTCATCGCTGGGATTACATTACATTACATTACTGCAGCCGGCCCGCAGCTCCACGCGGCGCCACGTCATCCGCCTGTCCTCAGAAACACGCGCCAAGCCGCTAAAGGATGCTGAAATCCGTACATCGCTAAGTAATGTCATCATAAACCAGCATATGGCCGGTTGCCATGTTGTCTAAAACCCCTACAGAATAATTTCCACGCTGTTTAATTCTGTTTTTTTTTTTTTTGCTTGACAGCGATGATACCTCGTGTAGAAGACAGGCCGCCCACACACTAAGCTCTTTATGTGTAGTATTATGGATGTTTCACACTTCAGCGCAGGTACAAACATACAAACACCACCTGCTGATGCCAACGAGACGAAAACATTGGAGTCTGTTCGTGTATCTCTTAAAATAAAAGCATTTCATTCTCGGGTGTTTCATTTAACAAGGTCAGTTTTTATTTTTTTGTGGGGTTTTAAACCTAAATATTCAAATAAATCTGATAAATTTCCATAATTAATAATATGGCTAACCCTAATAGCTAATTCAGTGAAGCTAATGTGTATTTTAAATAACACTGTGGGGCTAAAATGTGTTATTTAAACTTGTTTGGTAAAAGTAGTGCACATTTCATTTCTCTTCTGGAAAGTGCTTCGCCGGAGTAGCTGCTGTTTAAAATGTTCTCTATAATTAACAGTGACTTGATGTGACTCGACTATTGACTATTGACTTGACATCTGGGTCTACTCCTTTTGGGTTATCTGTCAAAGCACTTTGTTATTATTATTATTTATACATGGCAACGTCCTATAACTATACTTCAAGTTCTTTTTCTGCAATTACTTTAACAATCCAATACTTGTTAAACTATTGCATCCTATATATCAAAAGTTAATCTTGTGTTTGAACACTGAAGCCCTCTCTTCATCTACAACCTACTTTATTAGCCTCTGAGTTTGAACAGCACCAATAAGACGAATATGTTGTCTTTCTGATCTGATGTCTATCAACAGGAACTGTGTTAGTCCGTTCCATAACATTCACAAATCCATCTATTCGCTAAACTCGCTTCATGCTATAGAGGATCCTGTATGGATGGTCTGCTGGAGCAGAAAGAGACTAAACAAACTGGTTAAGAAAGCCAGCTCTGTCCTGGGCTGCCCCCTTGATCCTGTGGAGGTGGTGGCAGAAAGGAGGATAATGACAAAGCTGTTGTCCATCATGGAGGACACTTCCCACCCCCTGCAGAGATGCCACAGGTCCTTCCTTCCTGCCTCAGTCAGACTGTTCAGTCCAGCCTGGTCCCAGTAGTTCAGTTCACCCAACGTGCAATATTTTATATTTAAAGAGCAACGAAGGAAACTGAAGGGTTAAGATGACACTAACCAAACATCAGACTTTCACCTAGTTTAGCTTGACTACTGTGTGGGATCGTTCTTTTGGGGTTTTTTTCACACTTTATTGCATTTACAGTCACCGTTTGCGTTCATTTTCAGCCGTTACTTTTGTTAATGAAACAAATCTACATGGGGAAGTTTAGACCCCAATGTTGCGAGATTAAGTTCAGGAAAAGATCTTGGTTTGGGTTAAAATACATAAAAATATACTAAGCAACAACCATCATGGATGAAACAAGAAGTGCCAAAAACTGCAGTTCCTCAAATGACCACTTGAGGCTGACCACAAAAGAGCATTAACCTCCAGTGACACCAATGTTAGAATTTCCAGCTTTACAGCAGAAATAAACACGTTTACAGTCGGCTACTGGTCTCTGCAGCTAATGTCACTGTTCATGACAACTGCATGGGTGCTGAGGTTTTACATAAGTCAGCCATTTAAATTGTGTTAACCCCTAAAATTATGGATATTTAATTGTCCAGACACCTGTGAATGGCCCACCTTAGGAGGACTCAGGTACTACCAAGATGGTGGTGGCCAAAGTCACCACACCGACCTTTAAAACTGCTGTTCTGAAAGCCTGTGAGTGACATCAGTTGGGTTTGACCATCTCTACATACAGTCTATACTGCAAAAACTAACCACAAGGTTGGTTTCTAGGTTGCTTGGGTGACGAATTCCACCACAAGAATAGTCATAATTACTACAGTTGGTAGTGGATGTTTGCAGTAAAGACTTAACCTTTTGAGAAAGTTTCTGTGATCTTTGAGTCTGAATCTTTTCCTTTTTCTCGGACCTTCTAATCTAACAACACAGGTGGTCAACTACACAACAACTTTATTGTATTCCAAACCATTTTGAGACGCTGACCCTAACACTAAATTCATACCTATGTCATCAAAAGTGTTGAAACATCTTCATAACCACATGAAAACCTTCTTTTGAACACCGTTAAAATCACTGGAGTTTAGTGGTGGGTCTTGGAAAATGTGTCGCCGCCGTAATTAGCATCAACCTTTTGATGTGCATCCACTGTACAACTCAAAGACACCTTCAGCATCTGCATATAGATTAAGAAACTGTATTAAAGCAGCTACTGTTTGAAGATCTTTCCTCACCGAATCAATACCTTTGAACTGTTGATAAAGACAGGTGGGCTTTCATATAGCAAATGAAGATCTCCACATCTACGCGCATATTTGAAGGGTACGATAGGACGGATAGCGTGTCGGTTTCATCTGTGGCCATCAGAGACCCTCTGATAATTAACAGTAGCTCTCAGCTTTGATTCAAAGCAACAGCGGGTTAAACATGTCCCACCCTTCCAACACTCTTTGTGCTCGTGGCATATCAATCATTCATCGTAATAAGGTTTTAAGCTCCTGGGCTTTAGGTGCCCAAAGCAATAAATATACAGTTTGAACCCTTGAAAGGCAATCCATCCTTGCTATTAGATGCAGATGAAAAATGAACCATTCAGTCAATACAGGGTCAAAGCTGGACTGATGGACATAGAGCAGCCCTTCTTATGCATTGCTTTATATATCTGTGTGGTTTTTCTGAGCATTTAATGTATGTCATATAGATTATGTTTGTTTTTCTCAAGATATCTAGGTGTGCAAAAGGTTAGTGATGCAGCACACTTTCCTTTTGTGGAGCTGAATTTGTTAATTAGGAATGTATTGAGGAGTGTCATCTGCATATAGTGACATCTGAGACGATTTTAGCCGTGTCATCACGTCCACGCACTAAGAAGGGTATTGAAGGGTAAACACACACAAAGTCAAATCTCAGAATGTGAAATAGGATTGGACTGAGCGGAGAGCTAAATCCTTTTGTCTTGTAAATCCTGGGATTGCTTGTTTTGACTCACTGAGATCACTTTATTTGTCTCCAATGAATCATTATATCTTGATGTAAGCACAAAGCATCTGTTAAATCGCCACCCACTTGCGCTCGGTTGAGATTAAAAACAAACAAACCTCCCCACGCAGCATAACTCTGCAAAGGATTCTGACTGGCAGACATGACAAACAACATCTGATTGTGTTTTAAACAATCTGTGAAGCAAAAGACAAAAAACAAATACTTTAAATATTCAACTCTGTGAAGAGCTGAAGATGAAAAATCTGTTTCTAATAGTCACGCATAACACATTTAGGTCACTGTAGAGAGAGACAACTCTGATATCCTGAGGGTTGAGAGGTATGCTTATAATTATTAAAGTCTTTACACCAGAATATGCTCATATTCTGGGGTACACTTGGTGTCTTAGGGATGAGTATTTAAAAGTGAAAATTATGCTGAAATTCCTCGATATTGGTAAAAATGTAAATCTGAGTTTTAATCTTAATTCAGTGGTTTATGCCTCAAATTCCCAAAGTAGTTGTTGGGATTTTCCTCCAAAATATTAAAATAGTAAATGCTGCATATTACACACACTCCAGCCTAAACTACTGTATAATAATATAATTTATTCGGATGCTGTGTTCTTCTATGTTGTCATCATGCCCGTGTTTGACTGTTTTTATTAGTGAATAATGTCTGTAATCTTTGTCTTTAAGCTGCTGAAAGGACTGGGAAGCTCAGATTGATGCACCAGTGTTTAAAATGAATAAAATCTGACTCCTTGCTGTTGCACTACATTGTAAAAAGTGTATTTAAGCTGCAGTTGAAGTATGTTTCTGAATAAATCTCACTCAACTTTCTGCTTCGGTTTGTTTTTAAGATTCTGTCTCTTTAAACAGGTGCTCTTATTTTGGTGAAAGTGTGAAAATGGTGTTTCCTGCTCCTTTAGGTTTGTACATCTGATGGTTCTTCAAATTTTTCTGCCGCAACTCAACTACGATTTTGTTCGAGTATGATTACACAGCAAACAAAAAGAAGGAACAGAAAATCTAACGACAGAATGATGGTTCACATTTTACCTTTTGTTAAACATTAAGATGCAAAAATGGCAACCTGAAGTTCCCTCTTCTTATAATTAAGTTGTAGCAATGCACATTTGAGAGAAATCAAATGTCAATTCATCTTAAACCAGTAGGTTTACATTAACTTAATGCTAAATTCAGTAGCATGTTACCAATCGAAGGAATTCTCTTTTTACAGTACATAACAAATGGT